AATTAATGTTGCCAATCTGTCTTCAATCAACTAGTTGAAACGCTGAAATTTTCAAAAAATCTACTACATCTTAAATCATGCCATTTTGTTTGATTTCACTTGTTAATTCTTTTTTCCAAATTTTTATATGTTATTGTTTTGTTTTTTTACCACTGTTTACAACTATCATCTACTAGCATTACACATACTGATGTTTTTAAGCCTTTATTCCTGGTAACTGTGTTGATAGATAAGATCATAATATTACATCAGACCAATAAAAAAAAACATTTTTAATACAGAATGGTTATTTTTAAAAATTACTTTTAAGCTGACAAATGAGTCTCATTGGAAGGTTCTAATTTATTGAATATAATTGTACATTACAGTGTTTTTCTGACATGTAGGAATATCCTAAGATATACCGTGTTCTTTTTTCTATCGCATTTTAACATTTAGATTTGGTTTGTTCAACATTTTGTGCTAGAAAATTGCTAAATAATAAAGTTTATTCACTTTCTAATATGGGCGTAATAGCCCTCTGCCAAGGGTGCCAAACTGCAGAGGGTGTAACAAATTATTTGCATACTTTTTTTCATTGATTTACTTGTTTCAAACATTTCAAAACATTTTATGTTTGGGGTAATTCAATACCTTTTTCTACTTATTGCTTCATTTTTGACCGGACTGTAAGAAAAAGCTGTGTTGAGACTGCAAGAGAAAACTCTGACACACTTTGGGTTGCTAATAATGCTAACGTTGGTATTCACAAAGACATTTTTCTTTAATCTAAATGGCCCTTTAACTTATAGATACGAGTTTGACATTAGTTTAAACTCTAAAAGTAATTAGTTGGCTAAGTGTATTATTACACATTGTGCATAGATTCTTTAAAATAACATTTTGATATTTTCAAAAACAAACAAACAAAAAAAAACATTTCCAATTCTTTATTTTAATGGAAAGCACAATATTTTGACAATTCGAGCCCTTTTTTACACTCTTTACAAATTATTTGCAAAAACTACGTTTTAATTTTCTAAAACTTTTATTCATAAAATACAATCTAATCCAAATTTGTGAAAGAGGGTTTTTACCCACGGTGCCATTTGTGTAAAAACCAACACTGGTACCATAGCTCACTGTCAGCTGATGAAGACTCTCTATAGTTTTGTGGCAGTGGTATTTGTGTGTCGGTGGCACATCGCTCTGTTTAAAGACCTACTTATTGGAGCCCACGTATGCTGCTTTATTTGCTGATGTAGATTGGCTTCCAATCTCTGCTTAAACATGAGGCTTTACTGTATGTTTGCTTAACTGTCCAGCCATCCCATCTATTCAAACAGCGTTTTTTCAGTTAAAGCTGTGTGCTTGCTGGGCTCTTTTTTTTTCCCCTTTCCTTTTTCTTTTCTTTCCTGGGACCTTTTCTGTTATTTTGGGGACCAGATGGCGAGGAGCATGGAAGAGCCTCTTTGTCTGGGAGCCCCTGTGTGAAAAAAGGTTGTCCTCCCTAATGTAATCAGCAGCACCGGAAGGGTCCATTTTGGGCCGTGAAAGGAGACAATTGGGCCTGGACACGTCTAGATTACAGAAACGCAGGGTTCATCTCCCGACCCTGCCTTCTTTTGACCAATATCCTGGTGAGGAGGATCCTCATCTTTGATCAATGGAGGGTGGAGGTGCTGATGTGACCCCATGCAGGCCAAAGGCCACCCCCTCCCCTACACCATGGCCTGTTTACCCTGTACTTGGCTGCCACTGACACCTCCTTCCGGAAAGAGCCAGGAATGGAAGGGGAATGGGGTGCTGGCACTCCTGGGGAAAGGGAGGGGGCATCATGACCTGTCTAGACACCGTTGTTTCTAGTTGCTGTGGTGTTGCCAAGGGGATATAATGAACTTTGACCTCAAACATAGTTGGTTAGGAGATGCTGTGGTCAGTCAAGGAAGACATTTTTTTTTCTTTTTTATAATTTTCAGAGTTAGAGGTGAAGTTAGAGGGAAGTGAGGCTGCGTATGGATGCAACCCACATCAAACACATGCTGCTTAGAAAGACCACAGGCATGAATTTACTGCCTTATATATTTTCAACCAAATATAGAATTTCACTTTGATTTGAAAACCATTTTATTGGACTCAACCTGGATGCACTTGTGGAGTTATTTTTTATATATATATATATTTGCAGTAAGTAGCCACTAAATCTCTTGTTATTGAAAAATGAAGTATAAAGGATAGTTGCTGTGGAGACTTGTTGACTATACAGTATCATTCATTGCTGCGGTTCTTTAATAGAGAGCTTCTTTACTATCCGACTCACTGTGGTGACAAGATAAACTTTGGTCCATTCTTTGGCTTGTGTGTCACAGCTCCAGCTGTTTTAAACATTTGCATTTTTGAGGACTATTCTAATGAGCAAATTTAGGCCACTAGCCTTTATAATGCATGTTTTTTTCATTTAATGCCATGTTGTCCTGTCTTTCCCACTTCAAAAAGGTATTTTTAATAAAACAGTCATGACTATGTTTAATTTTGCCCTCTGAATAACTGTACTTGGCATAAAGTTTTAACCTTTTAGGTTTTCAGTTTTAAATTATCCTACTGCAAGATTTTTTGTTTTTTTTAATCAAAGCATTTTTGTTGTTTTATCCATTTTAAAGGGTGGCTAAGAAAAATTTGCCTCAGTGTCACATAATGTTTATACAGGGACATAAGAAGTCAAAAATGATTAAGTCAAAGGTCCTCAACTCTGTTGGTAACGTAAAATAGTAAATTACATATTTTTCAAGGTATACATTTTAAGTTAGTAATTGTTCATTTTCATTTAATTTAGAGTAGTTAGGTTTGCCATTATTGTGGTGTGAGTGATACAGCTAAAAACAGCTGATGAAGACTCGATGGTATGTTCTCTTGTCTTTCCAATTCTGCAGTCTTGGAATTAACATGCTTTCAGCTATGTGACCATCCTAGAATGGGAAAAACATAAATTATGTAAATGCTTTAATTTAATTTATTTTAAATGAATAGTAAGGACTGACACCAAATTTGGCCGCTCAAATTTAAGAAAAAAAAAATGTCTTCCTGATTTTGCAACATGATTAAACACAACTGTGTTTAATCATGTTTTTTTTAAGTTGACGTTTGGCTTTCTAATGTCATGATCATCTTAATTTGTGTAAAAGATGTGAAAATAGGGAAGTTTTCTTTTAAGTAACCTTAATTGATTTTTTTTTAACAAAGTAGAATTCCGATAGTAAAAAGATTTTATTTTCGTAAGAAAATATATTTGCACTGATTTAAATTCCGTCTTTTTGATGCAGGATCTCAGTTGTTTCTGTGCATAGTTGTTTTTAATCTGGATTATTCAAAATTACTCGAAAGCAAATGTTGCGAAATTAGGAAATTATAATTAATACATTTTTATTTGTGATAATGTCCTCAGTGAACATCTCATGCATCGTATGTCGTACACAGTACCTGAGTTCGAATACCTGAGTATAGAGTATATTCAGAACCTTACTGGCGAAACCTCTGCACAGGCTCTGCACTGGTGATTTCACCATCATGGCTGCCGCCATCACCAGCCACGCCCTCTCGCCTGCCATTCAGGAGTGAGTTAAAATGGCAGCATGCAGCAAAATGAGTGAGAGGGTAGCAGAAAAAAAAAAAAAAGCAGGGAGACGCCCACCTCAGTGAGCAAACACGATCGGCTGAGCCGCAGCTCGCCTCGTCTCGTATGCCAACTCAACAACATTCTCAATGAGAACAATGTTTTTTTGCTAAATTGCGTCCATCTGGGTCCAGAGTTAGCATCTAAATTTATGAAAAAGATAAGGTCTTTTTTACATGACTTTATTGAATTTTGCGATACATTTAATTCTTATACACCTCAAAACCCCAGTTCTGTAATAAATCTTTAGAATTGAGACACTAGCAGATTTTTACTGCGCACCCGCTGGAACGTGGGGTTGTGTTCAGTTCTTTTGCACCAAATCTTTGCTTTTTTAAAGGTGCGGACACTGATCTAAATTATTGAAACAAATGTTATTTATTTTTCAACTGCACAAGCTTTCTTTGAAATATGTGTGAAAATGGCTTGCGGTCTTAATGTTTTTTGTTGCAATATGGATTTTAATGCATCAGTACACTTTCAAACATATCCGTTACTAAATTTTACGGTAATTCAGGCCCCATAAAGTTATTATTGTTGAGGTTTAGTGTAGTAGGGTTGCACACTTCCACCAGTTTTTGCTCCTTACAAAATACTAAAAACTAGCTGAATGTTCTTCTTTAAGCTAATGCAAAAGTAAAAAAATGGGAAATTTGCTCCATTAGTTCCAAAAATCTGTTAATCCAATTCTAATATCGTCATTTCAGTGTTAAGTCTCACTACGCAATAATGCTACTGCTATTTGTCCAGCTTGTTGCCAAGATTGTTTTTATTTTTTAACGATTCATTGCATATTGTTGCTGTATCTTAAGTGGTAGCTCCTCATCCCATTTTTTTTTACGATGTATCATTTTAAAATTTAAAGTATTAAAATTATGTATGCAATATATGTGGTTGACATCTTAGTTTAGCCATCTGAAGTTATTTTCAATTCCACATTAATTTAAAAGACAAAAAAAGAACAAAGTGGAAAGATCACAGATTGGCAAAGCCCTTTGCTCCTAGGCTAACATCTCTATGGATGCGATTATTTTGTCATCTTACTAATTAAAGGCTATCTTAATACAGCAACCTGACACTGTTTCACTAACCTCAACACTGAACATTTTTACACCCAGTCTGTGCGAAAAGCTTAAATTAAGAAATATAACCTGTCATTTTTTTTAGCTTTGTAGCATTGGCTGCCATTTTTTAACAACTCTGTTGCTAGACTTCCTATATTCAAGCATCAGTGTGCAGAATTTAAAGGTAAATGTCTATATTTCATTATTTTTAGCTCTTCCCCACTCTCGCTGAATGACACTTTATTATTAGCTCTCGGTGTGTGAATGTTGTTTTTTTCTCTCCACAGTGCAGAGAGAGCTGTGTTGGTGGACTAGGAGGAAGATGTCACACTAAGGATGGGGTTTTTTGGCGATGATGTTGGTGCTGTTGATGCAGCATCGAGCTCTCACTTTGTGCCTCTGTCAGCTATGATCCGTAACCATAAAGTGAGTGACAGGCCATTCTCCGGAGGGAAAGCAGAGGTCTGAGGTGAGTCAGATGTATCCTTGACCCTGTCTAACTGTGTGTCAGCAAGCAACATGAACTCAGTAAAAAGCAGGCCTGAACTGGCATGACTGTACATTGTAGCTACATCTTTATTTTGTATGTGTAAGGAGAATGTAACATAAAAAGCAACCAATCTGCTCAAGAGATCTACTTTCTCCTGCCTGGACTCCCTTGACTTATGAAACTGTAATGCACCTCATAACTTAAAACACTGATGTTTTTCATAGCTTAATTTGCACCTGTGTCCCTTGTGACAACTAGGACACAGGTCCTACCTGAGCTAATTTTTTGTTTCCAGTAATAGTATTTTCTTTCATGCATTAAATACCCAAACCAGCTTTGGAATAATGCTTGGTTAATCCAAAGCAGAAGTTTTAGGTTGAAAACTTTGGGATTTCACATAGTTTTGAGCCCAATATATGTTGAAGTTTATGTTTTGCGGTGCGTAGTCACTTCAAACCAATATTCAGGGATGCATACCAAAATGACAAAATGTTGATCATTTTTTAATTACTGGTAAATGTAGGCTGGATACCAGTATCAAGGTATACCACAGTGCTAAGAGTTAGTTTCAATGTTTTAAAAATATTTTGGGCATGCACACAAAGTTGGTGCAGTTTGCAATTCTTTTAATGACATGTTAGAGAAAGTTTTCTTTGGCATAATATCGTACTTCCCCTCTAACTTGAGTTACTGCACACTGCCATTCGGCTAGCTTAAAGAATGTTACTACACTTTTTCAGCTTTTACAAGAAAGCAAAATTTGGCAGCTTTGAAACATTTCCAGTCTCAACAAAAACAGGAAATTAACGCGGTAGCTCTATATTTCAACAGCATTTGGCGAGTGTCAGCATTTGGCAAGTCTGGCAAGTCTGCAAGCAGCTGACTGTAGACATAACCTGCGCTGATTGCCCCACTAATGATTAAGTTATTAGAACTGTAAAAGTTTCGTCAAAAATTTTCATCTAAAAATTTCCAGTGAACTCTTGTATGCATTTATTTAATATTTTCACTTTGGTTATTGTATCACAATAAAAATTATATTGAATTAATATCAATCAACATGGTATAGTATTTCAGCTGCAGAATTGATGTCAAATTATCAGTTTTAAAATGAGTAATTAAATAGTTGAATATGTTTTGTTTTAAATTTGAGTATAATAATATATAAGCTGTGCTCTCAGAGCAAAACTTATGTTGGTAAGGTACTAGATTGTAAAATGTGTAAAATGAATCAGTAAAGATGCAGTTTTTTGAAAGACTTTATGGACTAATCAAATTTTTAAATATGATCAAAAACATATGATAGTCATTTGATATAATAATAGTAAGAAATAAATTTTTATTGTCATCACCATAAATATAAAATGCCTTGATAAAAATTTAAGCCACTTTCAGTCTCCTTAGTTTGTTTATTGCAGCTTACATTTATATCACCATGAGTTCCACAAAATATTTGATTAACTTACTTAATGTATATTCCTAGTTTGGGTTTTTCACAGCTTGTGTTGCCTTTGCCATAAATACCATATAATGTCTATAACACCCGTTCATTATTTACTTTTTTTCTGATTTATATGGTAATCACTATAAATGCCGCATAATCTTTCAGTCATTTTTGCAAATCTGTAGTTTTTATGACTTTTCCTATAAGTTTTACCAAAAATAAAAAATATCTTCATAACATAATGGACCTATATTTGTATTATCTTTAGATTTATCTTATTCACACAATATTTCAATAATATATACAATCAGTTTTACTTATTTCTAGTTTGTATTATATTTTCTAATTACTTGTGGGATCTTGACTAAAACCTTCCACCAAATAGCTTGAATAAATTTGCTAAAATTTTTGCTCCTTTCTTATTTGCATTACTTTTATGGTGACTAAGAGTATAACTGCTACAAATATAACAGAAGAATTGTGCTAAAACTTTATGCTCCTCTAGAGTTTTGATAGTTTGCTGTACTTTTTACCTGGCTTACAATAACTCATAATTGCCACAAAAATGTAAGTATGTTTCATTTATTCCACGTTAATATAAGTTTTACTTTTAACCTACATAATTAAAATAAGTATTACAAAATATTTGCATAATTTTCAAACTACATTTCTCATCTCTAATTTCATATTAATTTATTGTCTGTCTATTAATGTTTATAGCATTTTATGTCCACTTTGATTTGAACTTTTTTTCATGACTTTTGTCATCATTGTCATCATCATCTCCTATAAGTTTCATAAGCAGCATAGTCATAATAAACATCTTCAAATTACCAGTTGATTTTGCCTTTACTGTGATTTATGTTAGAATTGCCATACTATTATTCATAGTGATTCCCACTGGTCCACTATTTGAAAATATTTTCTTTCTTTTACCCTTAAGACTTAAATCAGGAAGTATTTTGAAAATTATGTGTTTAGGCTTTATGTGTACTTTTTTTGGTCCATATATACATACAGATATACATTGTCTATACATGCCTATCCACATAGGATCACAAAGGGATTGGGATCTAACACTACCGGTCACTGAATAAAAAAAACAAAAACATAAATAAATAAAAATAAAAAAAACTTTGTTTTCAGTGTGTTCAAACTTGGTCAAAAATTGGTCCACAAATCAGGGAATGTGAATCTGATATTTATCAAAAACAACACTCTGAAATTACTTACATTAGTTTTACTTCCTAATAAGCAGAAAGGAAGACAAATACAAGTCGATAATAGATAAAATGTGTTGCTAGCATAAAAAAAAAAATGTGTTGCTAGCATAAAAAAAAAAATGGATGACCCAAAGAATTTGAGCTTAAAAGTTCTGGATCCTTCTTCAAGGGTCACTCAAACCCTGTGTGTGAAATGAGAGTTGCTTGGGTGTGACTTTTACCAGAATGCACCCACTTCCTATTGTCTGCCCAGTCAACTTCTGCAGGCCCCAGTACCCTGACTTCCATACATGAGAGATCAAGGGTTACCAAGGTGCTTTTAGAAAGGAGGGCTCAGTGTGAGAGGGGACAAACTGGTCCACAAAATACTCATTTCCTTTGCATGTTAGATGCCCTAGTGAGGATTCAAATAGGGTCACTGACACTTTTTCCCCCTCCCATCGTTGTTCTTAATGAAACTGTTGCTTGCCTTTTCAATGGTTTGGGACCTCTACAGTATCTGCTGCCTGTACAGTACGCAGCTTGATAATACGGTGAGTATGCCCAAAAGAAAGTTTGTTCAGACTCTGGCTGTTTATTCGGCAGTACCAGACAGAGGCACCTCGTGTAGAAAAGGTAAAAGTAGTTTTGTCCACCTCTCATTCTTGCAAAAAAAAAAAAAAAAAAAGTTCAGCCACTGAGCCACGGCATTAACTTGTATTCTAACAAGATTAAAATATATTCGTCCTGGGGATTAGCATAGTTAGGTGTCCTTTTGCCTCTTTTTTTTTTCCTGCACTGGTGCGTTGACAGTGGGCTTTGATCTGTGTTGCGAGGCAAGAGTCCTGGCTTGGACCTAGCCATTCGAGTGCCAAGTGTGAAATTGGCCTGATGTCATCCCTATTCTTCACCTTTTACATCTTTCACCACTTTAATTATGTTTCCGCCACAAAGCCTGGGCACCTCTGAGCAGATTCCACTCTGGCCGTAGGAAGCATTCAGAAACTGTGGGTAAATGACACAGTAGGGGAGGAGGAGGATGGTAGGAGAGGTCATAGCAGGATGGGGCCCTTTTGTGTGCAGAGATATATACACTGATATTTTACTTGATGCATCCCACACTCTCTTCAGTAAGTTTAAGTTTCTGTAGTTTTCTTTGGACCAACAGGCCAATAGATATTGATGTACACCAAGGTTTTGAAAACTTAAGGCTTCAAAATCTCCCATAAAATTCTGTCATACTATAATTATGGATTAAAGTTGAATGAAATGCCAGAGAAATCAAAAGAACTGATAAGAGGTTTATGTAGCACAGAGTAAGGCAGCAACTCACCTCCCCCACTTGGTGCTGTGCACTGGTGGTCAGTTAGCTGGAAGAAGGCTACTGTATGTTTTCATTGTACAATAAAGAAATTCCAATAGATAGTTGGGATTTAGAAATTAAAGAAGCATCGACTCTCACAGCTAGCGTGTAACTAGTGTCTGCTAAGCAGAAAATTGCAGTCTGGCTACTTTAACAGGTGGTTTGACTGATAAACAAGCATAATATCAACTTGTTAAACTTCTGCTAGTCTAGCACAAATTTAGATCAGCATCAAGAGATATCACCATCAAGAGATATTATTCGACAAAATAAACCCTTGAAAACTAATTCAACATGTTTTTTTTTTAAACATAAGATCTCATTTTTAACAGAACAATATTTTTGGAGCTCACCAAAGGTGCAGTTAATGCTGAAACCGCCACTGTCTGTAGGCACGGGCTGGCATCAAATTATTAGGTACGATAACTGAAAATAAAAAAAAATTATGGTTTCACACTGTTTAAAATCAGAAAAATATGGAACTGTTTATTTTAAACTGGAAACTAGTTAATCCTACTGTCTAAGATTACATAGCATACTGATTATTGCACTTTTTCTTGTGTTTTCTATTATGCTTTTTGGCTGTTCTTGTTTCTCCTGGCTGAAAATATTTCCCCGGCACCTAATTTGTCTTTATTATAATCACAGAAAAAGTGTAGTAGAATTTTTTTCAGCCAAGAGTCCAGTGGTGCGTAGCATCAAGTGGCAAAGGAATGAAACTATGACGCCATACAGACATGTAAAAAATAAAAACACTTTAAAATCAGTATGACAGAGAAGTATTGTGGTTTACAAATGTTAGCTCCGCCCCTTTAAAACCTTGCTGTCAATAATTTACCTGTGCTAAGTCTTCCTATGTGAAATATGTTATGTGACACTGTAAAACATTTTCTAATGAGACAGTGTTGCAGTGTAAAAGTCAATAAAAATGTAATGTTGATTTAAAATTTGTTTAACATTTTTGTTTACGCAGCATGAGATGTCTATTTTGACTGGATATACCTTACAAATGATATATTGCATTCTTAGTATGTCTTTCACAGTGGACTTGTTTGTGGTGCACTACATCTCGGCTTCATTTCCTATGTAAATAATTATCGGCTTCTTTGCGGAAAAACACCCAGTCCAAATGTGAAGAAGATTTAAGGGGTCATAAGATATTGTTCGCATACAGAGATAAAGATGTTTAAAGAGGGTGGATGTCAGTTTCCTTCTCGGTGTCATCTTGAACTCCCCATTCGCATTAACTTCCAGAATCAACATATCTGAAATCATACTAAATGAAGACGTGAGTTGAGTTATCTGCTGAAGGTAAAATATTAACTACTTGTATCTTTTGACAGAATCTCACTTGAGAAATCTTTAATGTCCTTTTCCAAACCATCCTCAGATAACACATTTTCTCTTAATTTCCAGGAGAATGCGCCCATGTTGCTAAACAGCCTTAGTTTCTGTTCATTCATTGGTGTCCCTATCTGAACTTCCCGCAGCTCCTCTTCCTGTGAACATTCAGATGAAGATTCCTATTGGTTGAATGTCGGATCAAAACAACAGTGGAGTGTGAATGTGTGCGTGTATACCAGTGTGTGTGTGTGTGTGGGAGAGAGAGAGAACTAACAGAAATGAATGGAGTCTGGGGAATGTGTGGGAGAATAAAAGGAAATACAGTGATAAATGTGTGTGTGCATACGTATGTGTGTAAGGCAGACTTAGTGTATGAGTTTAGAGAGTGAGAAAGCTGTGTGTGGAGAATGGGTTACTAAGAGAGGCGGAGGTGGGGTAGGGTGAAGAAGGGAGGGAAGGGGGGACAGCCACCTGCAGCCATGACGGGCTTTGACCTTCATTGCTCTCTTTACCCTCCCTTCCCCCCATCCCTTCCTATCTCCCCCTCTCTGCTCCCCATTTCTGCCTCGCGATAGAAGCTCAGGCTCCTTTCAGAGGCAGCGAAGAAGACTGACCGTCTCGAAGACAGTGCTGGGAGCAGCCCCCAATCTGCTCCAACGCTAGTCGCTGGCCGTTAGATATGGCGTTCAAAGACTAGCGGTGCAAGTATGGAAATGCAGATAAGGCATTGTTGAGGAAACATGCCTGGGAATTGTTCAAGGTTTTCAGTTGCATAATCTTTGGATGTTTTTTGTTGTTTTTTTTTTTTGCAAATGTTTTAATCTGGAAAGTAATGAATGTGATTTTGATTAGATTTCATGGAGATTTCTTATGTTTACACATACATTTGTGAACATGTAATGTATTTTTTTTTTTGAGTAAACCTACATAATAAAGGTTTTTTGTATGTACATTCACTAGATGACTGCAAAAAGAGCCAGAGACCTACTCATGTATAATCTCCAAGGTTTTATTTACTCTTTTGCGGCTTTTCAGGAGGCAGTTAATTACACAATTAATACATGATACAAATTATGTACATTTATACCAAAGAATACTTCCAACATAAAATAAAAAATAGCATTGTATTCTACAACTCTGTGTTGTAATTTCATTTAAACATGTTCATATATAGATAGATATACGCTGATGAGTAAATTCATAATGTCGTACCAGCAGTTCTCATAAAGGCATTAAAACTTGAGTAAGTCTGCATTTGAAGTAACACTGCTTCTCTGATTCGGCACAGTTCTGTTTCAGGAAAAAAGTTCCAACTCGAACTTTTTAAGGCAAAGTGTGTTTCTGTTTGGTGGATTTTTCTTTCTTTTTTTTTGTTATTCACACACACTTTTTGCAGATGCACAACAAAAGAAAAAGAACACATTGAAAAAAAAAGGCAAAAAAGTCCACAATTTGGTATGGATACAGTCTGAAACTCGATCATACTTTTTTTGTCAATAAAGACCAAAGTTAATAAACACAGTTGTTTTTGCCCAAAGTACAACAAATTGCAGCTTTCATGCAAAAAAGGCCCCATAAACTTTTTTTTTCATTCACAAAGAAAAACAAACAAAAAGGAAACAAAAAGAAGTTATTGCAAGATAAACAAGCAGTGTAAACACCTCAGATATCTATTCTAAAGCAACACTGGTCATTGGATAGATTTTTTTCTCAATATAATCTATATAAATACACATATGAAGTCCTTTCAACAACGATAAGAGATTTGTAATACAGTCACTGACGGAGTTCCATTCTTTTTATGATATATGGATATGCAATAAAAATGTAAATAGAGAAAGATTTACCAAGAACATCCAACAACCTGCATGTAAAAGAGTAAAGAGTTCGCAGAAATGGTTGTCATCATTGTCTTTATGCTACAGAGTTGTTTCTGTGACTCAAAAGGCAGCATTATAGCCTTTGTTTAGCTACAAAAAATGATTCATATTGCTATTTTAAACTATAATAGCTGCACTGATGCATTGGCATATAATGAAGAGAACACGCACATTTATTTAAAGGCCGTGAGATGACCATAATCATATAAGCAAGGCCTACCTTTGTGTGTTAGTTACAAAAGAAAATTTAAAAAAATTTATTTTGCTCTTTCACTTCCAGTGGCGGTTTTTGAGACATGGCTATATCCCCAGGGCTGCCTGGTCTGGGTGCGCCATGACACAGAAAGGAGAAAGAACACATTTTAAACTGAGAAAATTTTGAAAGATTTGCTATGCTTGATTACCACTAATCAAGCATAGCATGATTAGTGGTAAAAAAAATTCTACTGATATTTTCTGTAATTATTATGTATTATCTCTATTTAGAGAAACACGATTCTTTTTAGAGATGCACCAATTAGATTTTTCCGGCCAATATTCGGCTTCCTGAGGTATGAGGTGCTAATTATCATTTTTATGAATTCTCATTTTTTTATGTTAACAAACTAAGACACAGCAAAGAGAAAATAAAATGTTTTGCAGCTTCTTTGATAGGTGTCATTTTAATTCAAACAAGAAATGTTGAAAGTACAAAATTATTGCAATTTATGCATGAAGAATATATCCCTAATCTTAACTTGATTTTGAACCAAACCAAAGACAACTCCATCAAAGTACACACTGCTAGTTGTGTTTACAGACACAAATTTGCCAATCACAGATTAGAGCTGTTTAAGTAAAAAAAGATGCAACTTTGATATATGGCCAATCATCGGTGCATCCCCAAGTCTTTGTGTTCTAAATGAACAAATCAAAAAATGTAGGTTCAATATGTGTATCTCTAAATGATTCTGCTGGATTATATAATAAAAACATTCTCTGTAAAATAGGTTTTGGGTGTGGGTTCTTTACATGTATTGGGTGGCCAAAGGACAACCTCACCCAGGGTGCCATTCCTGCAAGAAACGCCACTGGTCACTTCCAACAAACTGCATAACTACAACAACGCTTGGGGAACAAAATTAAATAAATAATAATAAAAAAAAATAATAATGCAGTGCCCAATTAGCCCTAACAAATTTCGATTTTCACTTTGCACGCAAAAAACAACCGAGAAAACCAAGCCAGCATGGCATTAGAAAAACCTTGTTAGCATATTTAAATTCACAGTAGCCTGGATGCAGCAGAAAAATATTCTTTGGACTTCAGTTTTTCTTTTTTTTTTTTTTCTTTTTCTTTTTATTAATTTCCCACTTTACTGACAAGTAAAAACGCCAAGTGCCAGTTAGTTAAAATGTAACACGATGACAATCATGGATAGCAGTAATCCTTATACGGCTTATAAAAATGGAGAGTGTAAGCATTGGTAGCCCCGGGAAGGGGGCGGGGACGACAAAAACAATGAAAACGTACCTTTATACATCTTTTATAGACGTGATATTGCAGAAATATCTCTCTCTTTTTTTTAACAATTTATGCTGGTAAAGGCTACACACTGGCCCTTTATTCGATCATATTATTGCATTGTAGGCTTGATTACACCTCCCATATAACGAAAAAATCACTATAATATTCCCATAGGAACCTATAGAGGCCTATGGTTCGGTTAGAAATTCGTGTAGGGAATCTATTCATTTGTTATGGTTTCTTGGAGCCATTGTGTACATCCATGGTGAGTGATAGTTAAAGTATCTGCAGTGGTAACATTAAATATTCCTGTAAGTAGAGTTTTAATCTCTATATAAATCTATCATAGGATTACTATAGGTTCTTTTTCGTCAGGAGGCTGCTGTTTACATCTCTGGGAATCAATCGCTGTCTGATTTCTCATCTTTCGACGTGACGGTGGCGTGATTGTAGAGTCCCTGCGCCATCAGGTGCAAGGCCAGACTGTTCTTGGTGCCGCTGGCCTTCTTGATCTTGGCCCTTTTGTTCTGGAACCAGATCTTGATCTGGGATTCGTTCAGACCCAGCTCTTGCGCCAGATTCTGCCGCCTCTGCTCCGTCAGGTACCGGTTGGTCTGGAACTCCGACTTTAGTCTCTGCAGCTGCTCTGCTGTGAAGGCCGTCCGTGGTCGCTTGTCCTCTTTGCTGGTCGATTTCTTCTTTGGTTTGCGAGATCTTGGCCCTGAGAGGGTGGAGAGATTGGGGAGCGGGAGGTGGAGGGGTTTCAGAAACACACGCAGTTGTTTGTCAGTATATATAGAAGAATAATTGATCAAATAATAGTCATAATAATTGAATGCTGGTATTTTTTTCCGCCCATTTTCCATGTTGTGCTTTTCTAGTTTTGTCCATAAAAGCTCCAAAAGGTCGAGGTATGTATGGTCTACGAAATGTAACTATTTCCCAAAATGCGTAGTGGAAAGTTCCATTTCGTACCCAATAAGCTGCAGTGTAGAGAATGTTCCATATTATATTATAGTATTACCATCAGTAGCTCGATAAAAGTTATTTTAGTACAATCAGGGTTCAAAATCTTGCATATTAAAAAAGCATCAACGGGCGCAAAACAAGAGTCTGAATTTAAATATGGAAATAAGGCGTAACACAATGGTTTCAGATCAACATTGGCTATTAAACAGCTATTTACTCGAGACTGGACATGTATCACGGCCACTGATGAAAGTACTTCTCTACAACGATTAATTAACAGATTACAATAGCTTAAATACAAAACAGCGAAATGGCAACGTGTGGAAACGAATTAGGATACGAATTATCGAAGCAGCGAACTAACCACAAACCAGCCAAAACATAAACCAAAACAGCTCCACCAGGAAGATATTTTTATGGTTTCGAGCAAACTACCTCACTAAATCGTGAATCGTATAATATTCTCCCACTTTGCATTCTGGAAATTAACATCAGTTGCACCCAAAATCCGTGCGTAAAGCACACTTTACAGCAAAAGGTCACTTTTTTTTCCCGAATATTTATTCTAATCGCCCAAAATGCATGTAAACAAACATGCTCATCTGGTGCGTCCTCAGTTCGGTTTGTGTTTCTGTATAACCAAAACATAAAAAAATAGCAAAACAAAAAACAAAACAAAACCAAAAAAAAAAAAAACATCGAAAGTAAAATTGTCTGAATAACTTAAAGCCATAATCTTTCGCTCTGAAAACTTACAGAAAAAGACAACAAACAATGGCTCAAAATCTGTCCTAAGCTCCCAAAAGCAGCCATGCCTCCCTGTTGCTCCCTCTCTTACAAACGCAGACACACATCAGACACACACTCACACACGCATACACGTTGGACATTTACGTCTAGTCTTAGGCACTCTCATATAAACACATTTCTGCAAGAAAAGTGGAAGAATCCGTGTCTTTTGTTGCTCAGTGAAGAATTAATGTTAATTTTGCTGTCGCTCTCATTCTTCCTCCCTTACTTTCTGAAAAACTCCTTGGCAGACGGACGTGAACGGAATTTTGGATCTGAGCTGCTCTCATGGCACGTTCAGTCACTTTCCACCTGGAAACACGGCCTGCTGGCTCTTCTGATCCGAAACAGTGCGCCAAAACATCAACGAAACAGACCCAGGATATGTTGAATGAGAACTGAAGCCCTGCAACTGGTAGTAGTCCCCCCACGCCACTCTATAGTATAGCATTACATAATGCATGAGAACAAGTTGTTCTCCACTTTTTATATACACGCCAAAAAAAAAAAATAAAAATTAAAAATCGTATCTACTTCTCAGTGAGACGATTCATGACAGGGACTTTATCAGATAGTTTATAAATATACCAAATAGTTGACAACAACTATCGTTGCATCTTGAGCAACGATAGTTATTAAATCACATTGCTATAACCCCAAATATAACTTTTAGTAAACAAACCCAGACTCTACAAGTGCATCAATTATTAGTGTTTTGTAGGCTTTCCTAAAGCCTGGAAGAGGCTCAGCTCGCCTGTGTTTACTTGCAAAAAATAAAAATAAAAAATAGTCCAAGAGTCTCGGATTTTCATTACTATACTGAGAAACGATCTATGCGTAAAGTTTAAAAAATGTGTCACTAATTATATTTTTGTCGACAGCTAAGAATAAAAAAAATGTAAAAATTCGTTTCGCAGACACTAAATATTTATCCTCTTTTGTTTTCATTTTCTCAAAAGGCCTACTCTCATCGTTCGAGATTCTGGTTTAGGTTTAATAATAATGAGATCAATTATTTACGTTTGTTCGGACCTGATGCCACGTTTTGGCGTAAATTCTATTTCTGAATGCAGCTCGAGGTTCAAATACATACATATATATAAATATATATTTTGTACTTAGAAAAGTATTCTTTCCGCTTTGTGCGCTCCACAGCGATCGTTCTCCCTGCTGCAGCTAAAACTCGGTCAAGCCATCCTGGGTCAGTGTTACGGGGTATTTCAGGTTACAGAAAATATACGGGGATGTAGTAAAACAGTATGTCACCAACCTGAAGAGGGCCTGTCCGAGTATCTGGTGCAGTAGACCCAGGCTGGCCACAACATGGGCTGCGACATGGATGGGTTGGAACTGGCTTGGGAACTGTCTGAGTCTGAGCTTAGGCACTGGTCTCCGCTCTCCCCGCTCGGTTTCAGGGACTCCTCGGCGGCTTTCGCGGGCTTCTTGGGCCCGGTGACTGTGTGTGGAGTTGAGGTCCCCTCCGCTGGCACAGTGCTGCCCACCGGCTCAGTCTGAGGGGCGGCGGGGCTGCCGCGGCTCTCCCGCGACGCTGGGCTGCTCTCATCGCGGTGAGCGTCCACGTCCTTCTTGCGTCCGAAGTCCGGCCGGAGGATGTTGTCGATGAAAAAATTGGTGACCCGGTGCGGGATCTGCAGGTTCCCCGGCGCCTGTAGCAGGGGGAGGATGGCTCTATTGGATTCATCCGCGGACTCCTGTCGCTCCACCGCATCTCTGTTGCCGTGATCATTTTCTTCCATACTGATTCACTTTCCCCCACTTTATGCTCTTTAACCCCTTTGTCGCTCCCTCCGCAGCAAGAAATTTTTGCGAAGAACTTTGAGGGAAACTACCCCAAAAAAGCTGCACGGGTAGAATAAATAAATAAACCAACTCAGATACCAGTGAGTGCCTTGGACACCACGCAAAGCCTTGCCGTAGTGTCCTTTGAGAAAAGCATAATTTGTCTCATATATTCCCTTAAAATCGGGTTACAAGTGATATCTTAGAGCTAAAGCGCTTGCCATTTGCGCACCATCCAAATTTATACCACCATCCGATTTGGTCGTCCTCGGGAATGCCTACACCTAAACTAAACTAAGGGTAAATAAAGAGGCTCCTAAACTGATGCTCTAATACTCTCACTCTGGAGTTTTGTTCTTATTTTCAATGCGAGCCCCCCGAGTGACGTTCTCCCACCCTCCTCCCAGACACGTGCCTCTGACCAATGGGACAGCAGAAATTGGGCCACATGACGCAGACTACGGAGCAGTCTACAAACGCCCCATCCTCGCCCTAGTAAAAGGGGAAGAGCCCTGAACATGTACGAGGACGAAAACCTAATTTGAATCCAGTGCATGCACACAGATACACCCAGTATTTCATGACATGTTGTACTTTATTTTTCTCAGGACTTTGAGAAAATGTGGCTTGTGAGGCGAAAAACAGAAAAACAACGGTGGGGTTGACATGTTCAGCCACGAGGATCCCCGGGGTTTAACAGTCTCAATAACACATAAGGAAATTAGATTTTCATTTGTTCAAGAACATATATGAATGACGTGAAGTTTAATTTTGTAGATGAAAAGTAGAAATGCTCATCAGCTGATTAACAGTTGAAAATCTGCCTAAACCGAAACTAATTCTGCACCTGACCTATTTAGGGGGGAATGCAACATACCCTACTGTATCACGTAGAAGTGAGGTGCTGTTTGTTGAATTCAGGCCCACTTGTAACAGTTGTGATAAATTTAAGCTGTGCATACTTTAAATAAAAACGCTTTACATAAAGTCAGCTGGTGTAGATTATGCGTAAAAATCAACATTAGGAAATGAAGTAAAACAGCCTTGGTTTTCTAAGCTATTATATCACTATATTAACATTTACCAGCTCATTGAACTTAACGACTTTTCTTTATACGTGCTTGTTTCCTGCAAAATAGCGTCACTTCATCTCATAACACGCAACTAAAAAGCGTGATAATTAAAGCTCGATGGCCAGAAGAGCCAACGCTGATGTGCTTTTAGTATTTTAAATGTGATTGCTTTCTCCTGCCATGACAGCTGCGGTCGCCCCAGAACAGGGTCCATATCCCTTTAAAAGAAATCAGTGATGCAAACAAACTGTTTTGTGCGCGCCGCTCGGGATCCGGAGTCGCGCCAAAGACAAAACTTTGAGTAACTTTGCTGACCACCTCCAAAGCCGAGTTTTCTGCGCTTTTCTCCCCCAATCAGTGAGGACGGACGGTGCTCCTCTGGCGTTTTGGAGCCGGGACGGTTTGCGTCAAGGAGGAGGAATCTTGCAGAAAGAGCGTTGGTGAGACTGGCTGAGTTAATTCTTTAGTAGGCCTATATAAAAAAAAAAAAAACGTGCGTTGTCTTTTCCACATCTTTTCCTGTTTTTATTTTTTTGCAAATTTGGGGGACGTGTATATTTTCTAAAATGCTATGTTGCGCCTGACATGTTTTGTGCTTACTTTGACGGATGTGATCGTATAGCATTGTTTTATTATTGCTTGAATGTTTTTTTTTTCTAATAGCTGTTTTATTTGAAATTTTGGCATATGAAACTTCTCTCGTCACATTTGACTAGCTGTGCAGAAAAAAAAGCATTTTATGCTTCCGCCTTTTTGATTGCTGCCTTGTTTATAAAGAGTACAGGCATTGTCTTTTGCAATTGTATTTTTTTAGGTAATTGGTTAAACCCCTTACTTATATATGTGTCTAGTATTTAGCTTTTTAAAGAATATTAGAGCAATAGCTTCATTGTGACGTTAAAAATGCATGTCTTATTTCCGAGCCTAAACATTTGAATTTTGATTACCTGACCAAGACCCACCGCTTCTGCGCGTCCAGTCCAAACAGTGGCAAGTTGAGAGTGAAAGGTGTAATTAGACAGGCCACTCTCACGCTGCGATTGTTTCTCACTTGTGAGGGGAAGCGCAGATTAATGTTGAGCGCTAAATAAGCAGCAGACAATGGATCCACAGACAGGCCGCTACCGCCTGGGCTTGGCCTCTAACCTCCCCAGCAAAAAAACAGGGGCGTCTGGAGGAAATGACACCACTGCAGACTCTGAATTAGAATGGGGAGGCCTTTTGTGCATTACAATATATTACATATTATTCAATCAAGCCCCCCTAAAAGTCGTCTTATCCCTGGAAAAGATAGGAAAAACGTTCCAAAAAAAAAATAAAAAATATGAGTCTAGGACAGATAGTAAAGCTCGGAAAATTTCAGATGATTTTTGTTCCCGAAAAACAGGTAAAAATGCTCACTTTGATGGAATCAATATTTTATATGTTCATTTTTGGCAGGCAAACGCCCATCGTGGTCACTATCCGCTTTGTTGAAGGAAAACTGAACATTAACTGCTATATCATGTTTTTGTTAAGTTGCCCGCTTTAATGGTTTTTGAAATTATTAGCTTTTTTTTTTTTTTGCAAATTTTTGCAACTCGAGTCAACCTTTTAACCAGCCACTCCTGTCTGGTTAAGGGATCGCAAAAGGGCTACAGTCAAATGAAATCCTAATTTTACTTTACCGCCTTTTAAGCTATAAACTGGTAAATATATGGTAGCACTTTCTTATTTGGCTGAGGTGTTTTCTCACAGCTGTTTGGTTTTGTGAAGTACTTTGAATTAGGATTTTTGCTGTTTCATGCAAAAACCGTCCTGCAAATAATAAATAAATGTACGCCAACTATGTTTTCATCATACCGGTTGCCTTTTTGGTACTCCAAAAGTGCAAAAAGGCTTCTATCTTTTGCATTCCTCCCAAATGTGCAATAAATGGTTAAAACATATGCAGTCTGGGCAAAAGTTTTTGTTTAAAACTGGTTTTCTTGTTGTTTTGACTGTTGACGCGTTTAACAAAGAGCCATGCAGCTGTTGCTGTTGTGCAGAGAAAACCTTGTTTCTGGAAACCAGTCATAGGCCTCGGTGTCTGCAACGATTTCACATGTTGAACGCAAACATCACGTTCTTGCAGGCCCTGCAGCCGCTTAAATTTCTTGATAGCTGCACAAAAATTTTGTTTATTTGTATTTTTTTTTTGCAATAAACATACTATACACTGAAATGCTTTGCATGCATTCCAGAAGTCCACATTAACAAACACGACCTCTATTTGCCCTGTTCTTGTATTTTCTTGTACAAAAATAAGAACCATACGCTGGGATGCATGCGGCCAAAAATAAATAAATATATATATATATATATATATTATATATATATATATATATATATATATATATATATATATATATATATATAATATATATATATATATATATGCTATATAAGTGCGCGTGTATTTCCTGTTTTTCATAGAGTATTCTTCTAATTTTATGAAGACTTGTGTATCTCTGCATGCAGTCAATGTATATGGCAACATCCACATATAGCTCCTCTCCCCCTCCCTCTCCCTGACTCACGCACGCGCGCGCACGTAGACATATCACCCCTCCCTACGCCTATAAATCAATGGCGCGCGTTGTGCGCATGTGCCCTGTCCTTGAGTTCCTATAACCCATTTCATTCCACACACACCCCCACCCCGTCCTCCCCCGTATCTCTCCTGGTAGGATTGTCGTATACGTCAGTACTATGGAGTACTACAAAAGGTGACGCGCAGGAGGAGGATTTGTGAATGGACGCCGTGATGTGTGCCAGCTCACTGATCAGAGGGCGGTGGGACCTTCTGCAGATGCGGCCCCACCGTCCCCCCCCGTCCCCCCCGCCATCCGCCTATCCCTCCTTCTTCCCGGTCATCATCCTTGCCTCCAGATGAATGGGGGTCCCCTAAGATATCGGCTATGTCACCATCGCAGGGGTCGCACCAAATCCTCCAGCTTCCTGTGTCCTTTCAAAAACCTGAAAGCACGTCTCTTCTATTTGATGATCCTGTATGATTTTTTTCCCTCCCTTTTTCACTTTTTTTCTTAAGATCTGGAAGCCGGCTATCCCCTGTTTTTCTTTTCCTTTCTTTTCTTATGATCCTGGGTCGCCCAAGAGCATGGCACAGAAAATAGTAGAAGCGAGCCCTAATTGCTAAGAGAGGAAACAGAAACAAAAAAAAGTCAGTCGGTAACTGACTAAGATAGATTTTTAAGGGGAGATCTACACCTGTTAAAATGTGAAAATAAGACAAAACAAGGATGCGCTGAAAGGAAAGTTAAACATCGTAAAGCAATCCAGATGTTTACAGTTCTATTAAGCAATTGAATCTTGTTGCATGGGTTCTCCAAAGTGCCTAAATTATGATGACCCTGTTTTTGACTAAATATTTGCCTTTACACGAACCATTTCCCCTCTTATTTATTCCCCGCACATTGCACTGCAGCTACATGATGTCTATATAATTTGTTTGTATTTTTTCCCCCCCGGAATTTCATTGTGATTACAGGGAGATCCTCTGGACTCGCCACGCTGTGGACTTTGTATCTGTGGAATCTTTTGCTTTTAGCCCTTTATAGGTTTTAATAAGTCTTAATCCGCCTGATCGTTGTGGCGTAGATAAGTCTCATTTGAATCGGGATTGTTCTTTTTTTCTTCTTCTTTTACTTCTTTTTCTTCTACTTCGTCGTCTTCTTCTCTCAACAGAAGCCTCAAACGGGGCGTAGCGCAAACAACTACCACCCTGAGCGCAATTAGGGCCTCAGCTAAATTAGATGAAGGCTAATTGAAAGCAGCTGAGTTCCCATCAGCGAAGCCCTGAAAGCTCCACGAACGTGGGCAGCAATCCCCGTTTGATGGTCAATAATTGCTTTTTTTAAGTGTAGGTGTTTATTTTGTGAGTGATCAAGTTGTTGAAGGGTTCCATTCATCGTTTTGGAAAGAAAGCGTCTGACAAACTACGGTGAAACTAACTGATATACAGATATACGCTAGTTTAGTCCATAAAAGTGTGACTTTATATATATGTAATAGTAATAGTAATGAAAAAAATTGCACGAATGAGCCCATAGGAATCAAATTGGATTTCATGAATAATGTGCACATAAAAGAAAAGTGTAAATATGAAAGTAAATAAAGTCTGTACACAAATAAACAAAGATTGTTTGCAGTGAGTGAATGCATCAGTAAATAAAATAAATAAATTGTCCCGCATTTATTCCC